CTTCAGTTGTTTTCCATTCTTAACACGCTTATTAGTTTTATATAAAATACAATTTAATACTTATTAATTTCAATTGGTCAATAATAGTTCCCAATCAAACTGTATGGTATATGAATCGGTCATTAGAGAACGCCCATAAGTCAAAAATTTGACATATTCCAAAAATGGCGGATTCTTAATGCTAACACTTCGGTGCACATTCCAACGAGAAATCCCATTAGTCGTAGCACTCCTTGTATTAAATTTTCAAACGTCAAAATCTGCTTTATTTGAGAAACCCCATAAATCGCTGAGTAATGGTGTTTCTCTAATACACGCAGCACATGAGCTAATACAATCAGCTGTCGAGATTGGCCGAAAGACAACTATGACCTTGGCAAATTGTAAACGGTATTAAATAATGTTGGAAATACCTGTGCGATCCGTAGAAATGGATGGATGGACCTTCTAATTACTCACTTTATTTCAAAACACTACTGAAACGATGCAAATTTTATTACATGGTTCACTTACAAACTACATACTTTTTACACTATATACAGAATTTTCTTGGGAAATTTGTTATTTAAGCACTCAAGCCATCTTTTACACCGCAGAACGATGTTTTGTGTTTGAGAGGTACTGAAACTCTGCCGGGAGAGAAGTTGCTCAGCTAGATTGAAGGTGACTCTACGTTGACCAATTAGGAAGTGACCAACGCCGGTGTTTTTAACCAATGAGGGCGATTGCCGGGTATGGATGACCGATGAGAAATGGACAAGAAATGAATGACGCCTGTAACGTAGGTATTAGACGGGAGACCGTTCTTATCGGCCAAGGCAAGGCCGCAGAGAAGTCTCCAGGAGTAAAAGGCAGTGTGGCTTGCAGAGACGTCTCCAAGAATAACAAAGAATTGAGAATGAAAGCATAGTGCAATGTTGAATATAATTCAACAAGCAGTATTACAAGATAAAAATATATCACTTAAAATAAGTCAGTATGTGCATTTTAAACATTTTTTCGAGAATGAAGGAGTTCTTGTGGCAAAATCTTCTCTAGATGGACTGACTTTTTTTTAATTTCCCAAACTTTTACTTTTCTGACTTATGGTGTTTCTCAAATGTCCGATTCATTATGTCATAACCTCAGAATCCAAAGCACAACTCTTCAACCCTTAACCTTTATTTTTGATAATTCTGTTCTGGTTCTGTTCTCATTACTCCAGAAACATTTACGTTCTGCTTGTCATTTGTCGTAACACTTCACGTGTCTTCTACCAAGACATGTTAATGACATTATTGATACATTAATTTAAAATTAATGATTGTGACTATGGTTAAAAATGATTTATTACTTCCAGTTTTATAAATTATTATTTTATTCCTGGGAAGACTGTGATGATGGCTTTGTAAAACCGAAAACGCTCTACTGATGTAATTGACTTATTCTTCACTTTAAATGAAGGAAAATTCGGAAAAGCGAAGACCATTGAAATATAATAAAGAAATAGTGGAAAATAATCTCAATACATAAAAAGGATGTAATTATATAGAACCTAGAGAATAGACACATATATTCGAAGAACAACATGGGAATATCATGTATTGATAAAATTTTCTGTTTAAAACAGCCATTAATAAAATAGCATGTGAGAACTCCATACCAAATTTATTGCTTTAAAAAAGCATGAAAGTGTTCATGTAATTGCTCTTGTTAATTTTTAGTAATCTTCTTCTCTTTCACTTGATTTTACAACAAAGGATTTAAATAGGTTTGTTTATTAGGCCTATTAAAAAGAAACCCCTGTTTCATTTTATTTCTTTTGTTTATTATAAACATTTCTGTACATCTTTTTTTAGAAACGTATATTTAATGGGTAACGTAAAAATACAATTTTTACAAATCAGTAGACTTTAATAATTAAAATAAAAAACAAATAACATATAATTTATAAATATCTATTTTTGGAACTATTATCATCATTATTATTATTATTATTATTATTATTATTTTTCTTATTAAGCTACCATATGGGAACGCGCGACCAAGGGAGATGACAGACGACAGGTAGTAAGCAGAAAATCCTACCGTACTAAAAGTGGTGTCGTCTGTCGCTCCTTCTAAAATGTGTTTCATATAATTACATGTGTTCAGAAGTGAAGAGACCGTTTTCGGTCTCCTTCACTGTCGCTTCGCGCCTGAAGTCAGTCTCGCCTTTCCAAATGGTAGATTTATTGTATGATTTTAATCACTATTTTTTCTTTTTAATTCATAATGTAATTTATTATTAAATTACCTACTTAAAATCATCTGAATTTAGATATGTAATGAATGTGTAAATACATTTGTTACAAAACGGAACAGTATGAAAATAGGATAAAAAGTATGTGTCACCACTAATTCATACATCAGAAATTTAAAAGGCAATATTAAAAATTTTCAAAACTTATATAGGGTATACTAACATAAAAAAATATTTCTCAAACTTGATAGGCAAGGAAATAGAGTAGACTTGCCTGTGAAAAATTAAGATAAAACTACAAATTGGTATGTTGGTCCAATTCGATGCCTTTCATTTGCTCCCAGGCTATCTGGCTTACATTTTTTAGGCGTGTTTTTTTTTTGTAAAAACTGTTTTTTTAATAATGAAAAGGTCTTGTCCGGTATTCATCTAGAGGATATTTATCACAAAAAACCGCGAGAGTACTACCCTAATATTTATATTTTACCTTCTAGCATATTCAAAAGAACGACAAGTCTTGTCGTTGAATGCCAGACCTCCATGTTGTGAACTAGTTTCATTTTGTTAGCGCTATAGGCTGAACGAATGATGGTATTGAATTTTTATGAAAATCACATTATATCTGAATAAATACCCTTTACTTTAGAACAGTTTTTGTTTGAGTGAACAGCTTAACAGTTAAGGAAATGATGAGCGCTCAAAATCGACTGATGTTCGTAAATGTCATCAAAGTTACCCCTATTTTGTTACACTTATAATTTCCCTTGAAAACCCGATTAGAAAAAATGCTTCCCCTCAATCAATCAGAAATTTAGTAAAGTTCATGTTCTCCCAAGAGTGTTTTTTTTTTTAATGCAAATACAGAATAGGGTGTCCCACTTTAAAGTAACATTTTAACACCCTATTACTCGAGAATATTATGAATCTTTTCTAAAAAATTGTTATTTTAAAATAATATAGGGTGCTTTACTAGAACGAAGCCAGTAGAGCACCTCGGTTTTTTAATGTTTTTTTTTTATCTTGTAACATTTTAAAAATCCATTTAAAAATGTTATTTTAAATGTGTGACATCCTGTATAAATAGTTTTCGATTAATTGAAATTCAATTATCGCCGCACGCAATATTCCAAAGAAAGGGAAATTTCGTGAAGTGAAAGTACAGTAAATCAAACGATTTCGCAATTAGATTTTGAAATTTCATTTATGATTACTATCTCTTAGTATATGGTAGTGTTTGGCTGTAAAAGTGGTAAGCATAAAAAAAGTATAATGTCATTGTAAAAATATCTCGGTAGAAATAATATTCCAACCTGTTGTTAGTTATTAGTTTTTTTGAAAGTAAAGCTAAATTTTTCTAAATATGTTTTCATAATTCATTCTGGTTGCTGGAATTGCACAATGCTTACAGTAATTAGTTTTTATTGTATCTTGATTTAATTTTAAAAAGTAGATGTTTCAAATTTAATTTATATCTCATACAAGAGCCACGTTAAAAACAGAATTTATTTTTGTTTAGAAAACGAATAGGAGCAGCTGAAAGTTAATCGTTGAAAACTAACAGTTGAAAACTAACCGCTGAAAGCTAACAGTTGAAAGCTAACAGTTGAAAGCCACAAGCTACACGTAAGAACGAGAATGACAGAAAGAGGTATGCTGTTCATGCTCGAGTAGCAGAATCATGGGAAATGCGAGATTTGGTGTTCGTTCCCGAGTAGTAGAAAATCTAATAATTGGGTCCATGAGAAAATCCTCAAACTCTTCATTTTTTATGTATATTTAGCGATAATGCTTTACCACCTTGTCCGATTTATATGATTCTTTTTTTTTTTTTGTTAGTAAGGGGGTACCTCACGAGTGGTCCCATATGGCATCTGCACGTTTTTGAAGTCGGTTTTTTTAAATTTTTAATTTCTAATACTTGTTATTAATTTCTTTTTGATAAAGCTAGAGTTTATAATTCTCACTAGCTTTCAAAAAATAAAAAAAAAAGAGAATTATTGGTGCCCAACTCTCCTAGAAAATTATTATCCCAAAGGTATCTATTAGAAAAGCCGAATTCACGACTGAGAAAACTATGGTCAATGTGATCATTTCATTTTTTTTAATTTTAAGGTAAGTAATGTTTGGTGTTAAATTTCTCTGAGCTAGTCAAAATCTCTTATAAGTGTTTTGAAATTAACATTTTATCACAAGGTAACGTCATCTATTACAAATTGGCGCTGCAACGTGTCAAAGCTATTACAATCTAAAAACAACTTGTAACATTTTAAAAAAATGTTATTTTGAATTGGTGACATCTTGTATAAATGGATTGACTTGTGTTAAAATGATCTGGCAGTCGCTGTTTTTGAAATCCCTTTCTTAACCATTCATTTATAATAGAATCGTTGACCTAAAAACCAGTGCCTTAAACTGCAATAGCGAGAGCAAATATTTGGCAGTCGAAGTATCTAAGGATATTATTCACTTTCACACCTAAGAATCCTATTCAATTGTATCTTCAAAAGAAGTCGACTCGTTGAGTCAAATTGTGGGGCATTAATGACCCTTCCCACATCTGAGGATCATAACTCAGGTTTTATTTTAATTAATTATCGCCAGCTAAATCTCTGACGCCAACTAATAAAATTATCGTACGATGGTCCAAGTCAGTATATAAAATCTATCTGATAATGTTTAGTGTTTGTAAAAGCGTATTAAGGTAAAGTACCCATTTGCTGACAGGGTACTAAAGGTTGACAGTTCAACCGAAACTAATCCGAAATAAGAGATCGTTTACCTTTGTCTTTATTTAAAATAGTCCACAGTACAACTAGAGGCATCTTTAATTCAATAGGAAAAATTAGGGTTTGAAACTCTGCTAAATACAAAATGGTGGTCAAATGTACTAACAGGTACATATGTTTGTCGGCTTTTTGTAAAAAAATTTAACAAAAACGATAAGAAACGAGAAAAACGTTGAAAACAACAAAGATTTATAAGAAGGCAGCAGACAGACAACAGAAGTCGAGAAAAATAACAAAAAAAGGTTGAAAATAGCAAAGATTTAGAAAAACACAGTAGACGGAGAGCAGAAGTTGATGATAACAAAAAAGAAAAGGTTGAAAACAACAAAGATTTAAAAGAAGGCAGCAGACAGACAGCAGAAGTCGAGGAAAACAAAAAAACGTTGAAAATAACAAAGATTTATAAGAAGGCTGCAGACAGACAACAGAAGTCGAGGAAAACCACAAAAAAAGGTTGAAAATAGCAAAGATTTAGAAAAACACAGTAGACGGAGAGCAGAAGTCGATGATAACAAAAAAGAAAAGGTTGAAAACAACAAATATTTAAAAGAAGGCAGCAGACAGATAGCAGAAGTCGAGGAAAACAAAAAATCGTTGAAAACAACATAGATTTAAAAGGAAGACAACAGACGCCGAAGAAAAATCTTGTATACATACAGATGTTAATTCTTTTGCCGTACCATCAACCCGTAAAGAAATGACGCCCATTAAAATTATCACCAATATAATTATTTGTAGCCCGGATGCCAAATCCAGCATCAGCCAAATTGATAAATTAATATCATTTGCTTTTAAAAGGGCTTTAATTTGACCAGAACCAAAACCTATTAAAAAGAAAAGACAAGTGAAGGAAAAAATTCCCTCAGTAACATCAAAACAATGGCAAATTTACTATGAAAACAAGGAAAAAGAAAAGAAAGAAGAGGAAGATAAAAAAGAAAGAGGGCCGAAGAAACACAAAAGAAAAAGGAATTGAAAGAAAAACAGAAGAAAAAATGTATAAAGAAAATTAATCAAAAAAAAAAAAAAGAAATTGAAATTGCAACGAAGAAAAAGTACATCTGATTCTGATACATTGGAAGAGTGGAAAGCTTCTGAAAACACTGCCGATGAAGTATCTTTTATAGAAAATCCTGATGAATCTTTTGATCTACCTAGTATAGAGTCCAGTGAATATAAGGAAAATGATTATGTCTTGGTACTTTTCCCTGGAAAGAAAAGAGAACATAAATATGTATGTGTTATCCAGACACTGCCGGATGGCGATGCTGAAGTTGTGGGAATGAAAAGATGTGAAGATGGAAAATCTTTTGAACTAAATGAATCTGATGTTATCGTCGTTAGTATGAATCAAATAATAGAAAACCGGCTTTTCCTAAGATAACAGCTTCAGGTCACCGACTAAAATATGAATTTGATGAAAACCTTTCTGATGTGGATGGTTAAGTTATTTAAAATGTTTTTTTGTTATTATTTTTGTTTTGTCCTGTAATGAACTTTTATAGTTGCGTTTTTATTTTATTTTATATTGTTGTTTTTTATATAAAAATTTTTGTCCTGACTGACTGACTGACCGTACAGCCAAAACTACTGAGCCTAGAAAGCGGAAATTTGGAACATAGGTTTATTTTATAACGTAAGCATCCGCTAAGAAAGGATTTTTGGAAATTTTAACTTTAAATGGGAGAAAATGTGGGGAGGGAGCTTTTAATGAAACTCTTAGTTTTTTAAAGTTAGAAACATGAAAATTTAAATTACAGCTACTGAGCATAAATAAATAATGACGTGTTTCAGGGTTTTTGGATTTTTTACATTTTAAGGGGGGAAAACGGGGGGTGAAAGTTTGTAAGGGACTATCGATTTTTTTTTGTTCTCTTTGAAGTTAGAAACATGAAAATTGGAATTGCAGCTAATGAGTACAAATTAATAATGACGTGTTTTAGGGTTTTTTAATTTTCACATTTTAAGGGGGCGAAACGGGGGGGTGAAAGATATCGATTTTTTTAAAGGTAGGAACTTGAAAATTGGAATTGTAGGTTCTCATCATAAATAAATAATGAAGTGTTTCATTGTTTTTGAATTTTCACATTTTAAGGGGGAACACGGGGGTGAAAATTAATAAAAAATTAATAAAAATTATTAATAATTAATAAAAATTAACAAAAATTATTAAAAATAAATAAAAATTAATAAAAATTAATAAAAATTAATAAAAATTAATAAAAATTAATAAAAATTAATAAAAATTAATAAAAATTAATAAAAATTAATAAAAATTAATAAAAATTAATAAAAATTAATAAAAATTAATAAAAATTAATAAAAATTAATAAAAATTAATAAAAATTAATAAAAATTAATAAAAATTAATAAAAATTAATAAAAATTAATAAAAATTAATAAAAATTAATAAAAATTAATAAAAATTAATAAAAATTAATAAAAATTAATAAAAATTAATAAAAATTAATAAAAAGCAATAAAATTTAATAAAAATTAGGAAAAATTATTAAAAATTAATAAAACTAAATAAAATTTAATAAAAATTATTAAAAATTAATAAAAATAATTAAAAATTAATAAAAATTAATAAAAATTAATAAAAATTAATAAAAATTAATAAAAATTAATAAAAATTAATAAAAATTAATAAAAATTAATAAAAATTAATAAAAATTAATAAAAATTAATAAAAATTAATAAAAATTAATAAAAATTAATAAAAATTAATAAAAATTAATAAAAATTAATAAAAATTAATAAAAATTAATAAAAATTAATAAAAATTAATAAAAATTAATAAAAATTAATAAAAATTAATAAAAATTAATAAAAATTAATAAAAATTAATAAAAATTAATAAAAATTAATAAAAATTAATAAAAATAATAAAAATTAATAAAAATTAATAAAAATTAATAAAAATTAATAAAAATTAATAAAAATTAATAAAAATTAATAAAAATTAATAAAAATTAATAAAAATTAATAAAAATTAATAAAAATTAATAAAAATTAATAAAAATTAATAAAAATTAATAAAAATTAATAAAAATTAATAAAAATTAATAAAAATTAATAAAAATTAATAAAAATTAATAAAAATTAATAAAAATTAATAAAAATTAATAAAAATTAATAAAAATTAATAAAAATTAATAAAAATTAATAAAAAATAAAAATTAATAAAAATTAATAAAAATTAATAAAAATTAATAAAAATTAATAAAAATTAATAAAAATTAATAAAAATTAATAAAAATTAATAAAAATTAATAAAAATTAATAAAAATTAATAAAAATTAATAAAAATTAATAAAAATTAATAAAAATTAATAAAAATTAATAAAAATTAATAAAAATTAATAAAAATTAATAAAAATTAATAAAAATTAATAAAAATTAATAAAAATTAATAAAAATTAATAAAAATTAATAAAAATTAATAAAAATTAATAAAAATTAATAAAAATTAATAAAAATTAATAAAAATTAATAAAAATTAATAAAAATTAATAAAAATTAATAAAAATTAATAAAAATTAATAAAAATTAATAAAAATTTATAAAAATTAATAAAAATTAATAAAAATTAATAAAAATTAATAAAAATTAATAAAAATTTATAAAAATTAATAAAAATTAATAAAAATTAATTCAAATTTTTAAAAATGAATAAAAATTAATAAAAATGAATAAAAATGAATAAAAATGAAGAAAATGAATAAAAATTAATAAAAATTAATAAAAATTAATAAAAATTAATAAAAATTAATAAAAATTTATAAAAATTTATAAAAATTAATAAAAATTAATAAAAATTAATAAAAATTAATAAAAATTAATAAAAATTAATAAAAATTAATAAAAATTAATAAAAATTATTAAAAATTTATAAAAATTAATAAAAATTAATTCAAATTTTTAAAAATGAATAAAAATTAATAAAAATTAATAAAAATGAATAAAAATGAATAAAAATGAAGAAAATGAATAAAAATGAATAACAATTATTAAAAATTAATAAAAATTAATAAAAATTAATAAAAATTAATAAAAATTAATAAAAATTAATAAAAATTAATAAAAATTAATAAAAATTAATAAAAATTAATAAAAATTAATAAAAATTAATAAAAATTAATAAAAATTAATAAAAATTAATAAAAATTAATAAAAATTAATAAAAATTAATAAAAATTAATAAAAATTAATAAAAATTAATAAAAATTAATAAAAATTAATAAAAATTAATAAAAATTAATAAATAAGAATAAATATAAAAAAATGAAAAAAATTAATGAAAATCAATAAAACTAATAAAAATTAATAAAAAAGGAAGTCATGTATTTTTTTTATATTAATAACACGACTATATGCGAGCAAAGTCGCGAGCAAAGCGCGGGCAATAGCTAGTAATAGTCGATCATTGGAGAAAACTATGTCGATAATTGGAGAAAACTATGTCAACTAATGGAGCTAAAATATGAAAATAGCATTATACTAAAAATATAATGATAGCTATACATTTAGAAAACATTTTTAATGCACCTTGGTAAGATAAAAAAAGTTCTTGTAACTGTTGAAATAATAACTCCAATATTAAACAAAAATTAAAAAATAAATAAATGTCAACCTTTGGTGAAAAAACATGCCAATCTTTGGGCTTTTCAGATTTTTTTCGTGTCAAAAATTAGGCCTTTGGCAACTGTTTTTTTTTATACTAAAATTTTTACAAAAAACTATTACGGAAAGCCTCATTTTTAGCAAAGGAATTCTGGAACCGTGTTATTAATAGCTATATAATGACAAAAATAATTTACATTAATACCGATTATATGTCAAAATTGCCTTAATATGTCGACCATTGGGGACTTTACCTTATATCGCTTATTTTTTTATGTGAATTTTGATATTCCATTTGGTTTTTTTTTTTTTTTTGTAAAAGTCATAAAACATTTCCACTATTAACTAATAAACAAATTTATTTATATTTTTTTAATCTTATTTTTAATGGATACGACAATTCTCTTTTT